ATTCTGTGGTTCTGTGGATATTAAATTAGTTTAAAACTTAACAATTATAGTAATTATATTAAGGAAATTAAGGAGTTTTAAGTGAGCTTGAGTTAGTCAGAATTAAACTTATAATCCGAATATTTTGTGAGTCAAGCATGAGTTTCATATTTATCACTTCAAATCTCATAATTCGAAATCCAAAAGTGGTACTAACTATATGAGCCGAATCTGAGTTTGTTAAACCTCACTTCAGATGGCTCAATTGACAGGCCTAAATCCTTCCATTTTTTATTTAAATGAAATTAAATTTAAACCTATAGTTTAGTACTCGTATTCTTTTGTACCCAAACTACCTTTTGACCTTTGAAATAAATTACCGAAAATACTACAAGTTACCTTCACCTTGATTAGAATTATGTCAAGTAATCATGAGAGTCAAGTCACCTAATCGATTTTGTTGTCTAGGTTCTATTTTTCTTTTTTATTTTTTTATTCTAACTGCAAAAAAGGTTCCTAATCTCAATACTACTATGATTGATCATGGAAGTATATTGTTTGGATTGCATTTTCTGGAAGGGTATACTGTAACACCTTTTTAGATGTGATTTATATAAAGTAAAAAGATCATTGAAAAAATGTATCAAGGGAATATTCCCAAAATATATGAGATTTTTGTCCAGAGAATGGCAATCCAAAAAAGCCAGTATATTGGCACACTACTACAAATTGACTTCTTTTCTACAAATATATTATTTTTTATAACTTAAACTATCCCAAAAATAGATCTCTAATCAAAATATTGAATTGTTATGTTCAAACTTGTAACATATATGCTTCTAATAAAACAAGAAAAAAAAATGAAAAAGTTCAATCTTTAAAAGTAGGGTAAAATACAAAAAAGTCCCCAGTCGTTAAGCTAACCTACAGAAAAGTCCCTTATGATTTCAAATCATAAATTTTGACCTCTCTTGGTTTGAACTAATTTGAGATAGTAATGGAAATCGTCAAAACTAGCGGAGGTAGATGAAATGACACAATTACCCTAATATATATAAGCAATAAAAGACCTTCTAACAACCATCCTATTAAGCAAACTCAGGGAAAAGCTCCCTGTGATTAAACCAATCTGTGGGAAAAACCCCCCATGGTTACATGTAATTTTGATTGATTTATTTTGTGCATAGGAATAAGATAAGCTGTATTTGGAAGTTTCTAGTTATTTATTTATGTATAGAAATAAGATGAGTTTTATTTGAGAATTTTTATTTATTTATTTATTTTATATATAGAAATAAAGATGAGTTATATTGGGAGTTTTTGGTTATTTTTTGAAAACTTTATGAGTTCTAAGGTGTTTAATAGGTATATCAACTAAAAATTTGAATTTAAAAAATTATTTTTCATGTCAAGTTACCTCAAACTCATTAATTCAAATGATTTTTGCTGATTTTCACATTAATTCAAACCATGAGATATTGGATTGTATGATTTGAAACTATAAAGGTTTTTTTTGTAGGTTTGATTAATCATGGTGGGGGAAGGGGAGGTGGGGCTTTTCTATATTATAACTCTAGGAGTATAATATGTATATCAATTGAAAATTTATTTATTTCCAGTATAAATACTCGCAAAAGAAGCGCGTGTATTTCAAACCCGTTAATTCAAACGATTTCTATCACTTTTTAAATTAGTTCAAACCATAAGTTACCATAGTGTATGCTTAGAAACTATAGGGGGTTTTTTTGTATGTTCACTTAACCTTAAGGGGCTTTTCTATATTTTATCCAATTGTTAATGGCGTAATTCGATCAACCCAAATTTAGCAGAACAGATGGTTCGCCAGCCAAACTGCCACTGCCACCTGATATCCAATCCTTTTCCACATAGGAAATCATAATCCTTATCCTTCCTTATTTTGGCAATAATCCTTCTCCTCTTAGGAATTGGAGCAATTTCTCCTACGCCTATAAATACACAGTCACTATTCATCTAACTTCCTCACAGAAGAGAAACTCCTTCATCGTTTTCATTGAAGATATTGTTAAAAAATTTCCTCCCACGCCCCCTTCCACAACCATGGTTTTTCAGCTTCCCCCAACCGTTTCCAGCGACCACAACCCTGTTTTGCAGCCGAACGAATGTTCATCTACTTTGTTCCAAACTATCGCAGCTCCTGCCTCCATCGTTTGGGCTCTGGTTTCCGACTTTGAAAATCCTCAACGCTACAAGCCGTTCGTGAGATCCTGCAGAATCATAGATGGCCAGGCGAACCAAGTCAGATGCTTACGCCGTGTGGATGTCGCGTCAGGACTTCCAGCCTCCTATAGCATCGAGCGGCTGGAGATTCTTGATCATGATCAGCGCATCTTTGGGTTCAGCATTGTCAGCGGCGACCACCGGTTGTCGAATTATCGCTCGATCATGAGCCTACACCCCAACGGCGGCGATGAGACGGTGGTTGTGGAGACGTACGTGATTGATGCGGCCGAGGCCAACACGAAAGAAGAGACGTGTGCCTTTGTGGATACGATCGTGAAACTGAACTTGAGGACCCTTTCTAGAGTTGCTGAGGATTTGGCGGGCAAAGCGCAACAACAGGTTTGAAAGTTTCAATTTCTTTCACTGGTTTATTTGTTTATTAGCTAGGAAGAGAATTAGAAATTTCAAAAAACAATGAAAAAACAAAAAATAAAAAAAGATTTTGGTTTCCTCTTTTTTTTCCCTTTTTTATTTGCTAAAAAAACATTGAAAAAAATCAAAAAATCCAAAAAAGCAAAAAAGATTTTGGCTTCTTTTTTTTTGTTAACTTTTCTCTGGTAGGAAAAGAATTTTCAAAAAAAATTGAAAAATCAAAAAAGTGAAAAAAGATTTTCGTTTCTTTTTTTCTCTTTTTTATTTGCAAGCAAAGAACAAAAAACATTGAAAAAAAGACCAAAAAAAATACAAAAAACCAAAAAAGCAGAAAACTATTTTGGCTTCTTTTTTTTTGTTTACTTTTCTTTGGTAGGAAAAGAATTTAAAAAAAAATTTGAAAAAAGATTTTCGTTTCTTTTTTTCTTTTTTATTTGCAAGCAAAAAACAAAAAACAAAAAACATTGACAAAACCAAAAAAATCCAAAAAAGCCCAAAAATATTTTGGTTTCTTTTTTTGGTTTACTTTTTTTAGTAGAAAAAGCATTTTTTAAAAAAATTGAAAAATAAAAAAAGTGAAAAAAGATTTTCGTTTCTTTTTTATTTGCAAGCAAAAAACAAAAAACATTGACAAAAACAAAAAAAATCCAAAAAATCCAAAAATCCAAAAAAGCGCAAAAATATTTTGGTTTCTTTTTTTTGTTTACTTTTTTTAGTAGAAAAAGCATTTTAAAAAAATTGAAAAATCAAAAAAGTGAAAAAAATATTTCCGTTTCTTTTTTTTTCTTTTTTATTTGCAAGCAAAGAACAAAAAACAAAATTGAAAAATGATCATGGTTTCCTTTTTACTTTTTTATTTGCAAGTAAAGAACGAAAAATTGAAAAAAAAAATCCAAAAAACTAAAGGATTTTGGTTTCTTTATTCCTTTACTTTTTTATTAGTAGGGAAAGAATTTTTTTAAAAAAAAATGAAAAAAAAGCATTGAATGTCTTTTTTTTTCCCCAAAAATAGAAAATTCGCTTAGCTCTACCGAACACGTATCTATCAACTATGCATGAGGTGTTATTGTTTTCAAAAGGAAAAAAGGGTAATGCATAATTTTAAATCTGCCGCTTTAATGTCTCATAAATACTCTACACGATCAATACTTAAATTTCTGTCCTTTTGCTAATTAAACAGCACTTGATTCTTTTTTGCCCTATTTAGCCTGCCTATAAACGCTATCTTCTTAACTTTTTAACTGTTTGTGAACATTTTAATAGCTACTGATGATCACTTGAGTTCCTATTAGTATGTCTAAGTGAGTTCCCTATAACTGTGCCTAAATACCAGAGGTGAAAATGATAGGTACTTCCACTTTCAGGCATCAAAGTTAGCTATACTTTGGGAATCTGTCTAAAGCTACTTCACACACCTTTGCACTTATAACAACTAGCCCTGTAATTGTGTGATAATGCGACGGTGTAGCTTTTGATGTGAATGAAATACTAATTGGCCTCTTTCCATTTCTACCTTGGCTTAGAAACTGAAAGAAGTATGAGTTAAAACTTGAAGTCTGCGCCTAGTGATTGGAGTTGACATCTTAATATACTTAATAAGTTGGTGAGGCGATAAAGCAATCACGGGCAGGTTAGCGCCATGTATCTGTTGTGGCTCCCTGTTCGGTTGTTGCAGAGTAAGTCAAGTCTGGAGTCTCGCTATACCAAATAATAAGTGAGGGTGCAGTTGTGGTTCCCGTGCCAAACATCTCCTGAGTGAGCCAGTTGGAATCTCAGGAGACCTAAAAAAGAATAAGTGCAAAAAGAGCACAAAATAGCACCAAAAAAAAGGGTGCTTCTGAAAAAAATTGGGATTGCAATTGCCACAAGAGGGACAGCTTTGCAGTCGAAAAACAAAATCTATTAACAAGCTGCAGCCAAGTCCTTGCACTCACACAGCGAGGGACAATGGGGGGAACCCCACCGCAACTATAGTGCAGGCCAACCACTGTCGTTACCATTGTTAACGCCCTGGTTCTGGTGAGCAATCCTAGATCTCACTTGGACCTTCGACTTTTAGGTATATTGGGGTTTTAAACCAAAAAACTTGGTTTCGGATGAAAAGTTGAGACAAGTCTTTTGGACATTTTTAACCCAACTCCTGTGAGCACGCCATCTTTCTTTAATATAATTGTCATATGGGCCAGTTAGTGCTGAATTCATATCAAATTGTTATGCTCGAACAAATTCCCTTTACTAGGCTAGATGACATTTCATCCCTCATGTGGCGGCCCCACTTCTCCCTAAGGCGAACCAAAGGGTTGGCGGGTCGCCTGCCTAGCTCTCGCTAGGACTCACACACTCTATTAACTAATTTCACCAAATATAAATCGAAAATAAACCTTACTTCTCGAGCAAGTCACGTACTTAAATAATTCATACAATTCAACTTATACAGCCCAAAACACAATTCCAAGTACCAACGAAAACGTCGAGCTTAGTATACTTAAATTCAACTTAATTTACAATTTAAAGTTCCTAATCCAGGGCACAGAAGCACCACAGGATTCACATTTTCCCAAAAACACAAAAATCATCCAAAAGATACTAACGTTTCCAAAAGTACAATTACAAAAGTGGGCATTCAAAATATAACATTTCTGTTCTAGTTCTCCAAGACTTCATGCATTTCAGAACCTGTCAAGGAAAACAATTTGGAAGGGATGAGCCAATAGCTCAGTGGTGCCTCGAAACATGCAATTCACATAAGGCAATTTAACAAGTACAAATAGACAAGTAAGCACTTAACAATTTAAGAAAGCGAAACAACATGACAAGAAAAGGATACGGGGCTCTCAGGAGCCAAAGTCCACGCACTTGATCAGAAAATTTATAGTAGTTGACACTCCGTCAACTTTCACTACCTAAACTCCATGTAGACATTTTCCCTAATCTACACATCTCCTAGCAACGTCTTCCCCCTTATTTTCGGGCCCGACTCCAACACGAATATTGCAAGCACTTTTACCAAGACAGCAGAGAGGTACCTCCCACTCTAATAGAGCGTGGTACGTGCATCCGTTTGGTTTATTTAGTCGACGAGACCACGCTCCAATCGACATTGCAACACTTGTACTTGTGGCATTTCACGCAATCACATAGCATATAACATTTCATGATATCTCTAGCAAGTACTTTTAACAAGTAGTTCAACTAGCAGTTAAACACGATTCATGCAAGAGACACTCACCTCAAGTGAAGAGTCTAGAATTCCAAACTTTGATCGAGATTGTGCTCTTCACCAACTCCTAAAATCATACAAATATTTCACATAAATTTCCACTTTTGAGTTGGCGAATTTAACTCGAGTCAACTAGCATTTAATTTCACTCAAAAATCCCAAACTAGTATTAATCGTTTTCTCAAAGTGAAATCCACAAATTTCGAGTGAAATTAAATTTTGAGGTTTCTTTAAAACCAAAAACTTGCTAAATTCGTCAAATATTTCAATAACCAAGTTCTAGAGTCATATAAGCAATTAACACCACTTTGGTGTCACAGGTTGAGAAAAATCACATTTACCCATTTAGAGGAATTTTCCCTTCTAATTTTCCCCAAAAATATCTTCGGAAATTCCTTTAAGAGGAAATCATATAAACCAAGTAAAACTAGTCGTTGGAATTTCTATAAAATAGAAACTCCTTAAGTTTGCCAAATTCCATTGACCAACTTGGTTCCAAGATTTTCATGAAGGCCAAAACTTGAGTTTTCAAGAAAATTTCCAGATTTGGCATACTTCTTGAAATAGGGCATTTGGTCTAATAAAATTCAAGGTTATTGACTCGAAGTGGACCTAGTAACAAAGATTAATGCTAGAAAACATTTTTGGGACAGATTTAGTCCACATTTAACCAAAACGAAATCCAAACGTCAAAATCATTTCTAATTTCAAACAAAATTTCTGTTTTGGGTAGCCTCGTGAAGAATAAAATTTTGGTCCATTTTTTGAACGTAAACTCTACTAGATTTTGTCCCCAAATTGAGCTATACGCACCCCTTAACTAAACACAAGTCAAATTGGGTTCATGTTATCGTGAAAATTATTCAACATGTCTCATGCAAAGCCGGGAAAATTTTCAAGTGCATTCGGTACAAGCAGTCCATTTCCTCTTCAATTTGTCCAAAACTTTTCAACTACCCAAAAGTTACATTTTTCCCCAAACAATACTACACATATTGGTAAACATGTATACAGCCCAAATAGTTCACAAATTTGTCGAAATCAACCCCCAAAAATTCGACCAAAATCTGGAAAATTTCCAGAATTTTCGGGTAGCTCAAAGGTCATTTTTCTCTTTGATTTTTCAATGAAATTTTCCATTGTACCAAAGCTGCATTTTCACCAAAACTACTCTACACATATAGGTGAACATATACATGATTTAAATAGCCCAATAACTTCACAAAATCCAGCTCAAGAATTCGGGTAACAATGGAAGAAAATCAAGCCTGTTTGTGCGGCTATAGCAGAGCAGAATTTTCTCCTCTTTTTGCTTAACCATTTTCAACTTATAAGTCATACTTTAAGTCCATAACAATCACAACTAACTAGTCTAACCTCCCAACAAGCAATCCAGTTCATTACCTAAGTAAAAATTGCAAAACAACAACCGGTAACCAAGCTGGAATTTTGCCTTCCCATTTCGGCCAGCTTTCCATTTTCATTCTTAAAATTTCCCAAACATTTACCCACCACAAAACACACATATAAACACATAAAACACCTCTAGCTTCATCAGTCATTAGCTTAGAGGTTCAGCAACCCAACAAGTTTCACCAACGCAAGTTAACATTTCAAGAACCACAAGCTGCAAAATCTGAAATTTTTGGCTAAGGTGCTAAGCTGGAGTTTGTTACCTTCAAGTGGGTTGTTTACTAGCTAAATGTATTGTCTAGTTCCTCAAGTTGCTCCTAGAACCACAGAGGATCAGCCGGCTCCCTTGCTCTCTGTTTCCCTCTCGGTCTGGCCAGTCACCGCAGCAGCACAGCAGCGACTGAAGATGAAGAGGGCTGGGGTTCTGGGGTTTTTGGTGAGCTTGAGGTGGTTCTGTGGTTGGTGGAAGGAAGAAATAGGAAGCTGATTTTTCTCCTTCACCCTGGTCCGAACAACCTAGCAGTAGTAGCAGCGGCAGGAGCAGCGAGAGTAGCAGCAGCAACAACGATCCTCTCCTTCCTCTTGCTCGATCTGGACAGCAGCAAGAAGTGGAGGTGGAAGCTGAAAATGGAAGCTTGAAGACTGGGTGTGAGTGGCTGAAGATGAGAGGCTGTTGGAGCTTGGAAGGCAGCGGTTTCTGCTTCTTCTTGCAGCAGAGGAGCGGAAGTTTAGAGGGGTAAGAAAAGGGTGGTAGCTGGTGACAAGATGGGAGAAAACTTGGGGTAGTCTAGGGAGTAGTCTAATTGACTTTTGGGCATGCTAATAATGGTGGAAAATTTTGAATTGAATCGCGTTTACGCGCGAGAATTTTATCTACCGGTAAGAATTCTCCATTTAACACATCCTCAGCTTAGTTGTACATTTTTATAACCTCTACATATCCTACATTTCAACTTAGGGCTACATTGCACGTCAGTGCGCAAAAATTCACCCTAATGCTTAGCCGAGCGCGAACCGTCAAATAAATTTTTAAAAATTCATGTAAATTAAAATATAACATTTATATAAGTGAAAACATCATTAATAATATAAATACACATTATTAAATATAAATACATATTATTTAATAATTTCAACATTTAAATAATATTTTGATTTTAATTTTCAGAAATTAATGCAATTTTGAGATCCTCACACCTCACACATGCTGAAGACTGGGAATTAACCAATTACTGCTATTTGATACAGCCTGCTCTACATGTTTTTGAGTGGGAGTACTCGTCAATTTTTCCTCGCATTCAATGGCATAGGGGGTATTCATTGTCCAAGGTGACTTGTCTATGATCGCGAAGAGGTGGCTTATCATGCTTGGCACTAGAGACATGAAGTTTTTAACTCCATCTATGTTGACACAATACATCACACAGCCGGTCCCAAGTCCGGATGAAGGAGGAGGGATTTTTTTTTATGCTTTAGAAGGCAGCTCTTAGCGTACGTTCTCAAAATCCTTCTGTGCAGATTATATATGAAAGGTTGGTGAATGCGAGTTTTGCTTCTTTTTTTTTTCATTCTTCTTCATAGTGCTGAATTTCTGGTCTTCATTTCATAGTTGATCTGGATTTTAGCATCTATCCCGGGTTATGATCCAATCGCATTTCTTTCATTCTTTTACCTTGCCCTGTTTTACAACCGCACTTTACTTTTTCAGAGTTTGTATACTTGTTCACATAAATCTGTCATGTGTTAGAGCTGCCAATGAACCGTTTTTACTGTAAGTAATCAACATTCACTAGTAAGTTTGGCATTCGAAATTGACAGGAACTTTTAAGCTGGTTCTCTTCTGTTCATTGAGTCACCTGAATTGTCTTTTATCTCATGCTGATCTTTCATACATGTGTAGTTTATATCGGCAAAATATGATACGGAAAAAAGGTTACGCTATTGATACTTCAGACACAAGTTGTACTATTTGGTGTGGCCGAAGTCTGACTGTAGAGTGGCCTTCATATCTTGAATTTCTTTCCCAAATTCGTGTGCTATAGGTAGATTTGCAGCACCAGTTTAGTCAGAACAGATGTTTAGAGCAAAGTGATGCTGATTACTTTCTAATTTTGCAATTCTTGGCAGGGATAATTCTATAGGATCAGTCTAATGCAATTTTGTATTGCTACAGTTTAATTAAATGAACAAGCTTTTATAGAACTGTGGGCTCACATATGATTTGAAGTCCTGTGTAGATTAGAAATTCTGTGAGTGGTGAGAGGAAAGTATGTCTTTCAGGTAATGTTACTGATTTTGGAATTTGTGGCACGGTCTCCTGGCTGTTGGTGATAGCCTGCAGACGTGGTTACAACTGGCATCTTTGGTGAAAATCTCCATATAGTTCTTTGCTTTTCAATCAAAAGTTCAAATTTTCCTCAATTACGATGGTTTTATGTGATGAAAGATGATAATGCAAACAGGGTATGTGATGCAAGATCAAAACTCTCATTCAACTACTTGCAGAAGATTATATATTTCTAGGCATTGTTTTGGTGCCGGACATGACCCATGAACTATATAGTATACTCGGCCGAATTCAAACATTACAGTGAAGTTAAAGATACTCCAAAGGGGAGGATGAGCAGGCCAGGGAAGTTGACTATCAATGCTTCTTGCCCTCTTCTTAAGCCCGTGAAGATGAATTTCTCAATCAAGTCGGTCACAGCACTCAATATTGCCATGAAAAATATAACCATGCCAAGCAGGACATGCCATGGGGCAAAATTTGCTCTAGTTGTGGAGTCTCGGGCTCAGAACCAAAAGGAAAAGAAGCCAAACAGCCACTGACAAAAACAGTTCAGAATCTTCCATTAGATTCTGGCTCTAGTTGTTTTAATAAACTTGTTCTTATTTTTTCATGCATACAAGTCGTATTACCTGTTCTTACAGACAAATCCCCAGCCTCTTCATTTTCTTTGTAAATTTGCAGGTCGTTATACATGTTAATTTGCATTATCTGTACGAGCATGTGTATCAACTAAAATACCAGACTTAAACTATTACCAGGTTCTCCAAAGTCATCGGCCTCATCTTTCCTCTCCAAACTGTTGTCAAGTTCCTCCTCTGTACTTACAGATATTCTCCTCTTCTTCGCTGACATATTCTCATCCAAACTTTCAGAACCTTCAGCATTTAGAATACTCAAGGATCTGACATACTGCAAAGCATATTTAATCGAACAACTGGTCAACATCTCACAGAACATAAACGCAACTTGAATTAACTTATTTGGTTTTACATACACAACAAAATGTACTGCAATTACAGGTAACAAGACACCAAGCTGATTTCTACACTTTACACCCTTTAGATGCAAGTAGGTTTCCCATTGAGATAGTTCAGATATATGAAATTGGATGAATCAATCAGATCATCTATAAAAAACAAAGATGGTGAAGAGATATCATGCATGCTGCTTCTGCACAAGTTCAGTAGCATAAGTATATAAAAGCCATAGGCTATTGTCTTCAAGAATTACATTTCATTAAACTGCAATTTCTCTACTAATAATCATATCAAACAATTATGTCAGAATTGCTCCCAAACTCGAGTATTCTGCCCCTGGACCATCTGTTGTACAATAAATTTCTGATTATCCTTGTGCTAATTGTCACTCTTTTAACCAAGATTTCATAAACTAATACAGCTATCAAGAAAGAACCGGGTCAGCCAAAAAGTTGTAGAAAGAAGCATTCTTCGAAGATCAAAAGTGCTAAAAGTCAATCATATTTTGTAAAAAATTAATGAAAATAAAAAGTAAAGAATGACGATAGATCACCACCAGCTAGCCAGACTCACTTCATTTCTCCACCAGTTTCCATGAGAAAACATTTTACATAGAATAGCCAGCAAGAAAAGATTATCTATATTTGACACATAATTCTTTTATCTCTATAGGAGGATTCAGAGGGATTCTCATCTTTAAAAGTCAATAGTTCGATTGGTCGCAGATATTTCTGTTGTCATGGAATTCTTCAGGTTTCAATCAGCAATCAGGATATAAAAGTCTTCTATACTTGCAACTGATGGAAGTAGAAGAATACAGATAGTTATTGATGCATATGAAAATAACACGAGATTTGGAGAATATGCAAGGTTGTCCACTGTAGGAGTGATGTATCAGATCTCTATGTTGGCAGTTTGAAAAGGAGAACTGGTACAAAATAGTATCCCCATGGACGCAACGGTTTCTAAATTTCTTCTTCCCTACTCCTGTTCTAATTTTCTGCACCAATTGTATCCTAGAGCCCTATTTAGCGCACAAATTCAGCAACTCGCTATTCCAACAACACAGAGCATGCTTCAAGCTTAAGACCCATGCCTAGATAACAAAGCACTTCCCCAGCTTTTGAAATCCATTAGAAGTACACTAAAATAGCTTCTGACGTACACAGGCTGCTGATCAGTAAAAATTGTCCTGAACTCTTTTAACTAATAGTCTTAAAAGCAGCAAACTCATTCACACAAAATTTGAACACAAGCTTTTAACACTGAATGTTATTTGACAGTGGGGAAGACAGGTTGAACTCTTACTTTCACATTGGTGTATATTCAAGGACGGGAAAAGAAACTACCACATGCAATGGAAGATGAGAGTAAAAAGTCAGGAAGAAAGCCACATATGACACAAAGGTTTAGGACATCACTTCCAAGACAAAGATGCATAAAAAATTCACCAGTGAAAAACTTAAATAACTCCTTCATGGATGGCCTAACAAACCTGGGTCTGTGGGGTGTGTGTGCAATAGTACATGCAATATGTACTGGGCTTCAGCTCAGCCCTGGGGACCAGAATATCTTATGACAGGAAATTGAGGTGATGAATCCCAACATTTCAATTAAAAGCCCTTCCATCAAAGTCAATGAATAAGCCTATGGTCTCAAACAACGGCCGAAGTGTCCTCCACTGTCAGTTTACCCAATACCCATAAGCTACTAAAGCACCATAAATTTTAAGCCTACTGAAATATGTAGAATTTAAATTTTTAATAAATAATCTTGATCCTAAAAAGATTACCCATTCTTCAAAGTGGGTAAATTGGATCTTCAGCCAAGTTCCCAAGAATATTAAAATTTACTCTTCCCTTAAACTCTTCATTGGTTGCATCAGTCGTGAATATTGATGGCATTCGTAAAAAAAGAATGGAACGCATAATGTATCAATATATCAACATCAGTTTGAAACCCTAAGAAAACATTCAGCACACACAGTTTTTATAAAAACCCCGTGAAGTCAAAAGAATAGAATCTTGCAAGCACCAGATGCACACCTTCCCATTCTCCAAGTTGGTTCATCATTTGTCTTCCCTTTGCAACAAGAGAGGTCCAAGAAGTAAAAACGATACAGGCTTTGGAGAGGACTTCAAATATAACTGAAACTCATTCATTTCTTTCACATAGTGATAAGCCTCAGCAACGCTTGGCCTCTGGTGTAAATATATCCAAAAACAATTCCAAACAAGTTGTCTGCCACAAGATTTTAAGCTAACTCTAAATTGTCCACTTATTATTTGGGCCCTAGAAGAGTGCAACATCTCATGCCTATACAAGTCCCTTTAGGTATGAATGAAAGACAATTATCTAAAGCTGCTGCAATGGAGAATGCCTTTTTGATGTTAAAAGCAAACTGAAGCTTATATATCTATTTCTTGAGAACTCAAAATAGGTAGTTGGCAATCAGCTATATATTTCATGCATATAATATCTGATGTCTCAAATGCCTAACAAAATTGGACTAATGGTCTTCTCCTTCCAGAAATATGATCACTTAAGACCATGTCATTCTTTAGAGAAATATAGCGATACACTTATTAAATTGCTTTTATATTTAAAAAAATTTTCTTACAGCAGAAAATATTGCATATCTTCTATCTATTGTTTATGATTTATTTTCAAAGAAAACAATGCAAAGGTTTCGTATTAGTAAGGTGAATTTGTGCTTAACCTGCATCAGTTATGTGCTCAAGCTTAAGCTAAGGTTACTATGTATCCATAAGCCTCTTCAAATTCAAGGAAATTGGTAACTCTTATATATATATATATATACTGGAAAGCTGTGAGTGATTAACCAGTGCTGCATTTTGGATGTCGAATCATGTCATTCACTCAAGAAGGCACAGCAGACTTAACCAGTCACTTGATTGAACCAAGTGACAAATGACAGTGTGTAAGCAAAACACGTTGAATAAGACTTGTAAACAAGGACTAAACCATACTAATCTGTGACCCAAAAATGCACAGGCTACAAATAAATGGATGAAGTGGAAGATCATAAGCAAAAAAATTTGAAGCCAGCTACTAGACTCAGATGTTAATAACCTATCGCCAGGATAATTGACATCTTATCCTTCTGTTTGTCTGCAAACTGAAATCTTAATCAAGTTTAGAACCCAAAAATCATAAACATTTTTCCTAGACTAAGTTCAACAGATGGAAATATTGTTCTTGCATAATTTTGCCATTATTCTCACAAATGAAGACCATTCGCATTACACTTCATTTCCAAAAAGTTATCACATTTAAAACGGTAAACAACTTTAGTTTGTTTGTTTTTCCCCCATCAACACCTATTGAATTTGAACAACACAACATGCCTGTGCCTACCTTCTGCATAGCTCACCAAGTTCTCCAAACTTCATCAGTTTTATCAATTAGTTGCTATCCCATTTGCTGTTTACTTATGCTTAATCATTCAAACATCTATTCCATAACATTGCTACTCTTCATCTTAAACCAAAACAATTACAGCTGCAAACACATTACACCGGTAATTCAAGCCCGCTACAGTCTTATTCACTTACAAAAACCCCAAGTTCCCAACCTTGCCCAGAATTTAAGAATCCCATAAAACCAAGTTCACTAAACCAATTTAACTGTCCTGATTCTCAAGTCAGCAAGAATTTTCTTTATGGCTAAAATTTACTTATTTTGACATTATTCCAGAGAACTGACAAGAGACTAAACCAGCAGAATTCATTACCTTTTCAAGAATTGACATGGCTTCTTTTGTTGCACTCTTCCTCCCTCTCTACATAACAAATGAAGCATTTTTATCAATCACCACACTGCCCAGACTATCCCAAACAATCAAATTGAAAATTTTCAAAAACCCAGAAGCAAATTACATAAATAAATGCCAATAAAGTACAAAAATAACAAAAAAAAAAAACTTTCTGGACAGAAGAGATGGGATGAGAGGCCTTACTGATGGGGCAGGTGATGAGGAATCCGGAGTGGGAATGACTGAGGAGAAAAGAAGAGGCGTTGTAGTCAAAACGAGGAATGGTGATCACTGATCACAACAGAGTGCTGCTCCCAGGGCTTCAGCTCATGCCTGGTTTCCAGTTCCACTTTCATTGCTTCTTCTTCCAATCCTTTTGCTTTTTCTTCTGTTTTTTCTGTCACAAATTTTCAAGCCACTCTTTTTTGAGTCTATCGGTGTTTCATTCCTAGTATTATTGAGTTAATGGATTGCAATCTGTATGGCAATTGATATTTATATTTATATTTGGCCCCACTTTTGTGTGGCAAATGAGGTTTTATACCCTGGTTCTTCCACTTACTTTACTGATAAAATGTGATTTATACTAAATGATTTAGATCTTGTTTGATAATCCAATTTAACACTTAAACTTAATGGGTTCAGATCTGAACATTTTCAGATGCATTTGATAACCAAAAATAGAATGTCGAAATTAATTAAGTGACATTAAATTTTTTACGCAAAACTTGCTCCCAAAATAAAATATTAAATTTAAAGTCTGAATCCGTTAAACTATTAAATGTTTAAGTACTAAATATGATATATTTGAGTGTATATCGAAATGAAATATTAAATTTAAAGTCTAAATTCATTAATTTATTGAATTGTTAAGTACTAAATATGATACATTTAAGTATATATCACATTAAGTGACAAATGAATAACTTATCACCTATTTTTTGGTGCAAGTTTTACCTGAAAAATTTAGTGCCATTTTATTTTTTGAAGCCAATTTTGCCTAAAAAATTCAGTCTACCTTAACCCTAAGTTGAGGATTCTGACCTAGCTCGATGACCCCTTAGTGAAACTCTAGCCCTTTCTGCTTACGGTGCTGATAGTTCCTTGTCTCCAGCCTCTCATGCGAGTTGAGTTGAATTTTCAACAATTGTTTTTGTTTGCTTCGCTTTGCTTCCGAGTTGTTTCAATAGCTGACATTCGTGGGTGTCATTTAATTAATTCAGATGTGCAATTTTTTGGTTATCAAATGCGTTTGAACATGTTAATATCTAAATCCATTAACTTTAAGTATTAAATTGAGTTATCAAATAGGACTTAATACTTAACAATTTAACAACTTAACTTAATGAAATTCATACTTCAATTTTCAAACTTTAATTTTATCAAATGCACTCTCCTTTTATCCAAATTCTACCAAACAGGATTTTTCTACATATTACCACCCTCACAATTTACAAAGTCATTTTAACAATTGAATCTATTAACCGATGTCAGTGGGTTTGGACCGTTGTGTGATATCAAAGGTAAAAAAAAACACATGTGTGCACAAAAAATCACATGTGTGAACAAAAAGGTGTAGATTTTTCTTTTGGAAAAAGGGAGAATTGTAGTTTTAGTCTCCAATTTTTAGCATAAGCGTTAAATTAGTCTTTAATGTTCCGATCAAATAAATTTGGTTCTCAAAGTTTTTGGTAGTAGATACATTCTACAATGACGAAAACTCAGCAATGACTAACGGTCAAAATTTAATTACCGTTATTTAAAAATTTTGACTTTGTACTTTTGGATCCTGATGTTTGAAATTTTAATCATTTTAGTTGCTTAAGTTTTCACATAGTGATATTGAGGGTATTAGGACAAAATAAGACCCGAATCACAATGCAATTGTCTTAAATTGGCACTAGCAATTCTAATTAAAATTTTTTATTTTTTACTTCATTTATTCATGCCACTAATGTCTCGTATACTTCTTCCCTTTGGTATACTTGGTCTCAAATTTGGTATTATATATGTAATTATTGTTTTATCCCTTTCTTACTCATTTTGAGAGGGAAGCGGATTAGCAGGAAAATCTAAGGCAATCCTTCTAGGACTATCAATGGGGCTGAGTCAGTTTGAATTCGGCTCCGAGAAAAAGTCTAATGAGTCTGACCTTTCATTGAGTTGGATTGAAATTGGATCTAAATATTAGTTCGAAATTAAATGTGAACAGAGTTTGGGTCTTATTAGGGTCAAACCCGATATAGGCTCGACCCTTTAATATGTATATATATAATATTCATATTTTGATATATATAATTATATATCTAAATATATAATACTAATACTAGGTATGCAAGTTTTAGTAGGGTTTATTGAAGAAGTGTCTTCTTTTTAATTGAGATTGGTAGTTTAGAAAATTGATGAAAAGAACTTAAGCCTAACACAAATAGAAGTTATTCAAACATTTCTCTTCTTTCCATTTTTAAATCAAGTTCTTTCTCCACATGTAAAGAAAGAAAAAATAAGTTCAAGAAGGATGTTTTCGATTGTTTAAAAAATCAATTCAAAAGGTTTATTCTTTTGAGAAAATCACAGAAGAGATAGTGAAATAAGGAAGAAACGAAGTTTTAGTCCCTAATGTTTAGCTTGCGCACCAAAATGATCCTTAATATTTTGACCAAAAAAAAAATGTTCTCCACAAAGTTTGTGGTTTTAGCCTTTTAGGCAAATATAGAACCATTGATGAAAAATTCCAATAACTGACGGCCAAAATCAAATTGTTTTAATCCATTGACAGGTATAACTAACCCATGACCAGAATCTCATCGTCCGTTTCTTCTAAAGCATCTTCATTCAATTTTTTTTTCCTTTTAATCTTTGGCAACATGTTGGTCAATGTCATCATTATTTTGCAGATTCTGTGCCTAAAAACTCAAATGCTAAGGACTGTTAGAAATTGTATGAAGTTACAAGCATTGCTCATTTTAGAGTTGGAAGCCGGACTTCAGTTTCAGATTATGATTTTGAACATCTTTTTGATCTCATAACTTCCGTGCCAGAAGAAAAAGACGCTTGAAGCTAGTTTCTTGATAGTAAATTCACATATGAAAACCTTTCAGCGGAATAAGAAAATGCCTCATATTATAATCTGGTAGTTATAGTGCTGCATTGCAAAAACAAGTTGCAAACAAGATCGATAACTATGTACTTCATGTGGTTTTGTCTATCACTACATTTTTTTTTTCTATCACTACATGATTCCTTTAAAGTATAACCTTTCAAAATATTCACATAATCCCCACTATAATTTTATGTAAAGTAAAAATTTGACGTAAAGGAGTCTTCATAGAATCGTTATTTGAAATGCTTGTATTGCACTTATTCAAGTATGGAGTAAATTTTTGGGGGGAGGGGGAGGGGGAAGGGGAGGAACAACTTTTTGTAAAATTATAGGGAATTTTGTGGGCAGACATGAAATAGTAGAATGATTAAATAAATATTATAGCTTCATTACAACGCTCTCTTAGAGTGCATTTAGCTCATTCGATATGACTGGAGTTACTTTCTGTTCATTTTCAATTTTATATAAAACTATATAGATTTATAGGATTTGTAGAAGAGAAAGGAGGAATAACATCCACCGACATTGCTATGAGATGTATGAAAGAACTCATCAACAGAAGCTTAATCCAAGTTGAATCCACGTGGGACGATGGCACATTGGATACATGTGGTCTCCACGATTTTGTGCGTGAAATCCTTGTTTCAAAATCTAAAGAGCAGGGCTTCATGACTGTAGCCACCAAATATTACACAAGATGGCCTGAAAAAGTTCGACACCTAGCAATCCACAACTTCACTGATAATCCACAAGAATTTAGTAGCTTAAAGTGTCTTCGGTCTGTGGTAATATTTGAGTATGAAGATCCTCTCACAACTACATTTTTGTCCAAGTTTTTACATGGTGATCCCAAGTTGCTAAAGGTGTTGGATTTGGATGGAGCTGAATTGGACAGTATCCCAAAGCAAGTCTTCAAACTATTTCATCTCAGGTATCTTAGTCTCAATGGAACTGGAGTTAGAATTATTCCAAAATCTATTGGGAAGCTTCAAAACCTTGAAGTTTTGTCACTGATGGAAACCAATGTAACAGAGTTGCCTATGGAAATTCTAAAGCTAAGAAAGCTCCGTTCCCTTTTCTTAGGTGGAATGGGTGATTATTCAAATGAGTATGCAATTTGGGGCTGTAAATGTCCACTTGGAATTGGAAAGCTTATTTGTTTGGAGGAGTTGTATGGTATAGAAGCAGACAGTGATAAAATAGTAAGGGAGGTTGGAAAGCTAACGCAATTGCGACGATTAGCCATCAGAAAGCTGAGAAGAGAAGATGGAAAGGAGTTGCTCTCCTCCCTCTTGAGGCTGACCAACCTTCGAGTGTTGTCCATCTCCTGTATTAAAGAAGATGAGACCCTTGATCTCCAACATTCCGTCTCTCCAAAGCTTGAATTCCTCACAATTCTGTTGTTGAAGGGGCGTTTAGAGAGAGTACCGCAATGGGTGACATCACTTCAATCCTTGAGAACCTTACGGTTGGTCAATAGTAGGTTGAGAGAAGATGAGAATGTAACAGGCTCCCTCGGACATTTGCCCAATCTGGTATCACTTACTCTCTATGGTGCTTATGAAGGGGAGACAATATGTTTCAAAAAAATTGGAGGATTTCAAAAACTCCAGAGCTTAGAGCTTGTGCAATTAACAAGACTGAAATGGGTGAGAGTGGAAGAGGAATCCATGCCTAATCTCAGAAATCTGCGCTTAGGTGGTTGCAAACTAATGCAAGAGTTGCCTTCGGGCATCCAAAACTTGACCAGACTTGAATATCTTGGGTTTTATGAAATGTCTGATGAGCTAATGCACAAAGTACAGAATTTGGATAAACAAAGTGAAGATTATCAGACAATTTCTCATATCCCTCAAGTTTTCACTGGTCACTGGATTGATGGTCAGTGGAAAGGCACGTTCCTCTAACAGAAGAGAAGCTAAGAGACAACTCTTTGCAGCTTTCAACATTATCTGATATTCAGTCAACTCATCTCTTCTATAAGTCTCAGGTTGCTTACTAGCTTTTCCTTTTATTTCATGGGCTCTCGTTAACCTTTTCATTTCTACTGCTTATTACATTTGTATCAAATCATATCATGAAATAGCTCAATTCCTCGAAATAGTATGTGTTCATATATATGGATTTAGATTTCCTTTTTATAGTTGGCCCCATCAAACTCTCTCTGGTTAAGTAAAACATAGATCAGAGCACCTACTACAGAAAACAGAAGGCAGTCTTCATTAAGTTAATTTGAAAGTGTATGAAGCAGTTAGTGAAATTAGTTTGTATGTATAACACCTTTTGAAGTTCAAAGTCCAGACTTGAAGGTTCTTGTTGCATTTCTTTTCTTTCTTTTTTTTTTCTTTTTTTCTAAATTCTCAGTCTGTATGCACAACTTTCTCAAATGAAATTTGGTTCTTGATCTTAGAAATGCATGCCTATAACATATGATTTTTGTTCTTCAGCAAGTTTCTCAATAGTGAATTTGCAAATGGAAAAATTTTTCAGAAAATAAGGGATTTTGCCCCATCTCAACCTTAACCACAGATTAATGTGCCTTTAGTCAATAAACAGGTTTAGTAAGCACATGCTAGTGCCGTCAGTGCCTTAAGGTGTTAAGTTTACAATAAAAATTTAAAATTAGTGGGCTGTTTTGGGTGGGTTATTAGTGGGTGGGTATGGACGAATTAACGTAATTGGGCTGTGATTGACACTTTCCTCCATCAAACTTGTTTTGGTTCAATAAGACATAGAACAGAGCATCTGCAAAAGAAAAAAAAAGGCAGTCTTCATTAAGTTAATATTGAAGTGTATGAAGCACAAAAGATGAAGTTAGTCAAATTAGTAAAGCGTGGATAACACCTTTCAAAGTCCGAACTTGAAGGTTCAGTGTGCATTTATTTTTCTTCGAAATTCTATGCATATTTTTCTCAAATGAAATTTGATTCTTGATCTCAGAAATGCATGCCTGAAAAATATAATGTTATTATTGAACTAGTTTCTCAATTTTGAATTTACAAATGAAAAAATTAGCAGAAAATAAGGGATGCAAGATCTTTATCTGATTTTACCCCAAAGAAGCTACCTTAACAGGGTTGAGAACACGCCGTTAATGCTGGGATCGACGTTTTCCAACATTGAATTTGAATCCTCCCTCAATTTTTGAAGTAAATAACTCTAAGCAATTCTTTGTGATTTTCAATAGGAGCTACCTTAATCTGGCCATTATCACAACACAGAAACTTGACAGGGTTGCAAAGAACACAGTTTGGAACATGTTTTTCATTTCATGCGATTCAGATACCACAGGCCATGTAAAGTAAAACTGATGGAAGAGTTACCTTTGGGTTCACTCTACAATATATCTATTGAGCTAATGAACAAGTGAGGGTAATGGTGGCAAATGATCCCAAACTTCAATGGGCTGTCCATGACCAAAGGTAATTTGGGCGGGATGGATTTAATATATATATATATATATATATATATATATATATATATATATATATATATATATATAATACTTGGGTATTGAGCGGAGTCTTAGGGGCCCAATCTTTCGAGTTTTTGTAACAAATAATTTTTATTTTCCCTGATTAAAGTGTAAACACATTTTTGAATTATATGTTTAATGTATGTGAACTTCCATGGTACAAAACTAGTTCTTTACCTTATTTGTTCCCCTGCTTTTAACATCTTAAATCCATATGTTTTTCCTTGAGAGATTTTTTTTTTTTTAGCAAATGAGGAGCATATAGTCTAATGAAGTAAATTCACTCGGAACTTCATTTCTACAAAATTAATTCTTAATCTAATACATAGCAATTTGTACAAAGATCTTATTGACTAGAAAAAAACTATCATGTTAATCTTGATTGTAGAGTAACATGAACAAATATAGTACCCTCCGTATGATGAAATGCCTAGTAATTTTTTCTTTTAGTATGATGAAATGCTTAGTAGGCAAAAATTTGAAATTTAGAATATGGATTTCTTTGGTAGGTTTTACAAGTGGTGGAAACATCTTATTATATTCTACAATAATCAACCATTTTGTTATATCCACAATAATTTATTTGGGCAATTAGTGGGAAAAAATAGAAAAAACTATGGGTAGAATATTAATCTGAATTGATTTTTTTCTGGTAGGATATTAATATGGGTAGGTATACTTGAAGAAAGAAGGGATGTAATACGTGCAAATGATTTGAAGATGTTAGTTTGTTCCTGTTGTTTTCTCTTAGTTAGAGGGCATTTGTAGTATACTTATATAATACTCATTCTTATGTATAATTCAAAAAAGGGCAAACACCCCCTGTGATTTAATGTTTTTTTACATAACTCCCATATGGTTTTAAAAACTATACATAACCCCCTTATGATTTGGATTAAAGTGTCAAAGTGACGGAAATGATCATTCATAACGGAGTTATCTAAAATATCAAAAAATACTCTTATATAAAGTTGAAAATTATTTATTAACCACGGAGGGTTATGTGTATATTTTGAAAACCATAAGAGGGTTGTATGTTAAAATATTAAACTATAAAGGGGTTATATGGTAAAACATAAAAACCATACATGGTTAGTGTATCTTGTATTTATAAGGGTAATTTCAATATTTTCAAAAGTTCCGTTACGAATGACTATTTCCGTTACGTTGACACTTTAGTCCAAACCATGAGGGAGTTATGTATAACTTTTGAAACCATAAGGGGGTTATGTAAAAAAGCACTAAACCACAGGGGATAAAATGTAATTTGCCCTTCAAAAAACTTCATATTTCCTAGATTTCAAAAATACTTTGAAAAATGCTCATACTTTTCAATTAACTAGATGAAACACGTAATAAATTTTTGTTATATATTATACTTCATGAATTATATTTCAATTTTTAAAAAAAATTAAAATTTAATGATAATGACATGTTCATGAGTTATATACAAAATAAGAACAACATATAATGTAACAATTGTAGATTTATACATATTTAAATAATATGATAACCAAATTTTAATAAATTTAACATCTCATACATTAAAATAAGTTAAAGATTTGTATAGAAATGGCATATTCTTTGAAAACTATAGTAAATTTATCTATATTTTTAGTTCCATAATTTTCAAATATGTTCGTACTATACACGTACAAATTTATATGAGTAATTTTGCCGAACATGCCAAATTTTTAATCGTACCTTTTAAAATAAATCTTTTATGCATATATATACCTCATGTTATACTCATACCATATTTTACAATCTATGCCCTTCATCAACCTATCAACCTAAGGTAGACTAAGTGCTTAGGAAAGTCTCCAAGGGTGCGTGGTTTTGATGACGTGCCAGTTCATGATTTGCTGAAATGTTGTCGTCCTCCAGCTGCTCACGTGACTTGATGGTTGGAAATTGGGATGTGAATTCCGTTTGTGAGCCACCGAGTCTTTTTGCTTGCATCCAACCCACTAAAGAAAGTGATAATAGTAGTAATAGTCCTTTTTCTTTTTCAAACACAGTGGTTGGGCCTATTTCTCTTTCCCACCTTACCGACTGTCAGCCTTTTTGGTCACACCTACTGGATCAGAACCATCTTTTATCTCTCCCTCTTTGTTCATCGTCTCTCTCTCTCTGTTTCTTTTCGTTTCTTCATCTCCGACGAGAAAGCCCCCTTCTTCTCTTTCTCTTTTCTTTGTCTTCGTCTTCTGATAGAGAATAATGATAAGCCAAAAAAGATGGTTTATATATATACTTTTAAAGGTTCTTGTTTCTTCCTTTGCAGAACTTCTCTAGCCCTCATTTTTTTTTTTTTTTAAATGGGTTGTAGTTGTCTAATTTACATATTTCTATGTTGCAGGTGACAAATTGGAAATTACTTCCGGCAACCTGATGACATCTTGCAAGTCTTTTGTTTCCTTTTCTAAAGTGCATTCTGTATGCTTAAAAGTTTTGATTCTTCTAATTCCTGCACTTTCTTATGCCCGAGTTCTTTTGTACTTTTTTTTTTTGTTTTCTGAAGAAACCGTGTTGTGGGTTTTTCTGTTTTTTCCCAATAGAGCAAGGGATCAATGATAAAGGAGGCATCTTTTTCAGGTTTGAGGTTATGTTTAATAGTTTTTATCAATGATTTTTTAAATCAATAGCCTATTGTTGTTTTTTTGCTTGAACTATTTTTATTTATCGGTAGCCTTCTTGATTTTCAAGTTTAGAAGAGATTTTTGCAGTTTTTTGGGACAAAAACAGCTTGGATGAGTTTTTAGGAAAATTGCCTTGGTGAGTTTCTTGCTACGGATTTATGTGTTTTGGACTATTGTTATCTAAGCGCTTTTGTAACGTTGTCTTTTTTATGAACTGACTTCAAGTTTTTTCCTCCTTTTTTTATAACTGCTGTTGGTATATGCTTTTGCCGTTGTGGCGAGTTCATTTTAAACTTCCTGCCTTTTTCTTTCTGTTTTCAGTTTTTCTTTCTATTCTTGTGATTGCCTGTTTTACATCCGTATGGTATGCCTTTCTTTGTAGAATTCGCTGGCCTTTTGATTCTTGCAAGGGGCCTTCTTTGAAGCTAATCCTTTGTCATTTGTTGGGACAGGAATTCTGTTGCAGGTCAGATGCTTATTTATTTGTCTTGTTTGCTTTTTCCTTTTGTCGTACATTCTTTATTTAGTTGCCACTTTTGCTTTTCCGTTTTTAGTTCATGCATGAGTATCACCTCTGCGTAATAGTTGTTAACTCGCATGTAAGAGTTGCCATGCATGGTTTAATAAATTTATGCTCTGTTCTTTTTGCTTCTTACTTTTTGGCAATAGAGCTGGTATGCATGCATGTTTTTTATTTCATTGTATCATATATCTTATGTTCTTTACAGCAATTCGTAAATGTTGTTTTTGTTCTTCTTTACAATCATTCGACTATAGTTTTTGGTGGCTATTGTAAATTGCCATTGGCTGATTTTTTTTTTTTTGGACTGATGGTTCTTAGTCATTTAAGTCAGGTGGATAGAAATACTATTCGTCAAAAATGGTATGTTGAAATGTCACAGAGTGAGAAGGCTGCACTTTCATGTCGGAGGCATGAAGCCAGGCTTTTGGAAAAAAAGGGAGAAATCCTCACGCTCTTATGTTCATAGGGTACTGTTTGGTTGCATAGAAGCCGGTGTTTGTTTTCCTGGTTCTACTCTTGAGGGCGATAGCAAGCTACTCTTGAAGGCTGTGGTTTTACTCCTCGAGGTATATGTGCCGTTGTAGTATTTTACTCGTCTATTCTGTATCTGTTAGTTTATTTAGCCTTGTGTCAGATCATTATCTTTGAATGGCTTCACGTTTCTGTGCCATTTACGATTGAAGCCATCTATTTTTGCACATTACAGCAGCTCCATTGAATGACATAGTTCAGGTTACAAAAGGTCAACCAGAATCTAGTGCTGGAAAAAAAACTGTGTCTTCTCATCTTTGGCCGAACGTTTGGCCTTCTATTAATGATCAGCCTTCTTAGCACAGTCATAAAGAAGTCTTACCTAAAGGATTGCCTGACCTCTTAGATAACATTACAGTCTTCAATGAGAACGAACAAACTTGTGATTCTCAAAATGTCAACAAAATTACATACTTCAATCTTTAAAGGACTCAAACTCTGGAATCCTTAACTCTTTGAACACTCCGTCTTTAAATCGTTTGTCCAGAGACTGTGTTTCCTCTTCTATTGCATTGAATCCCTGATCTTTCAGCATTCCGCGAGATAGAGATATTACTGCATCCAACAAATCATTCTTCTTGCTTTTCTTATTCAGCCTTTAGTATCGTTGTCTTTCATAAACTATTCTTAATAAAATAAGGCCGTCTATTTATGCACGTTGCAGCAACTCCATTCAATGACAGAGCTCAGCGTTAGAAATGTCAGATAGAAACTAATGCTGGAAAAAGGAAGAAAAAGGAAAAAAAAAAAGGACATCTATCTTTTGATTCCTTACCTAATGACCAACCTTGTAAGCGGAGGCATGGAAATGCATTGTCTAAGGCATGGTCTCCTGTTTCAGAAGTTAACATTGCGATCTCTTAAGACAATGAACAAACCTGTGGTGCTTGATGTTAAAATACAGCTAACATCTTTGAACCTACGCGGAACTTGAATTCTAAAATTCTTGGTTCTTTGCAGAGTCCATTTTTGAATTGCTCGTTAAATGACTGTATTTATTCTTCTACTACATTGAATCTCCAGTCTTCTAGTACTTCTCAAGATACAAATATTATTATATGTACCAATTATTTTGCTTGCTTTTCTTGTTCAATCTCCGGTACTTAAAAAAAATTCTTCTCCACTTCTAAGATAATGTTGTGTCTTTTGGGCACCTTATTAGGATTTGCCATTGCAGATATCCCATCGATTCAGAAAAATATGGTGGTTCATTCTCAAATAATAAATGATGTGTCGACTAACAAAGATGGGACCAGCAAATCATCTGATATTCCTGTTGGTTTTGCAACTCGAACGAAGGATCATACAAATGTTATGCCGACAAGAACGACGCAGTCAGGTTAGTTGATATGTAGGTTATTCTGAAAGGGGCCAAAAACGTTTCATCCTTGTTGGAGTATCGTATATGTGATGAATATGTATTTCTGTCCTTGAAATATTAAAAAAAAAAAGAGCAGCTGCTTATAAAATCCTTGAGCATTAACTGCCTTAAGCTTGATTATGCTACTATTTGATCATTTGTTTCAGGAGTTATTTGATCATTTGTTTCAGGAGGGCTCCCACAGTATATGTTAACATTTTCTCTTGGGAAGCTGCAACACAATTTCCAATAGCAACACAGATAGCAAGAGGAGGGGCAAGTTTCTCTTGCTACTGTTACTGACTGTCCATTTGAGTATCAATGTTAATTATTATATATTCTAAGCTGAATATTCTGCGGATCTTGGCAGATGCAATGGGGCTTGGGAAAACTGTGATGACTATTGCTCTGATTCTTGCAAGGCAAGGCAGAGGTACCCTGAGGATTAAGAATCGATTGCCAAAAGTGAGGGTGATACAGAGTACATCAAGAAAAAGAAAGAGGAATCTGATCTCAAACCTTTTAGAAAAGTGAAAGGCAGCACCCTCATTATTCGTCCTATGGCGTTGCTTGGCCAGCGGAAGGTGAGTCCCTATAATATATTTGATTCAGCCAGAATAACAAAGTTTTCTGAGTTTGTATGCATTCTGAATAGGTTTAGCTACATTGTTCTGAAACTGCATTACTGATTTTCTGATCGTATGTTAGTTAATGGATAGGCACAAGGATATACTGTCGTCTTCTCTGAATAAGAATTTACTGAATGAACAGGATGAACTTGAAACACACTCAAAGCCAGATAGCATCTCCGTTTCTGTCTTTTTTGGTGGGGATCGGAGCAGTGACCCTAGAGTGATTGCTGAACCTAATGTGATCTTGACCACATACAATGTCTTAACGGCTGCTTGTAAGAATATAAGCTAGCTATTTCCATTTTTTGTTACTTTCCACCACCGAAATCCATTTACTTGCAGCTTATAAGAATGAAAAGCTGGCCATTTCCATTTTTTTAGTTTCCACCACTTAAATCCAATTGCTAATGCTGCTTGTTCTTTTCCCCTGTTGAAACATTTTTAATGATTACTATTTTATATGTTCAACACAGGATGGGGAGAATAGCATTTTCCACAGAGTTGACTGGTACAGAGTGGTTTTGGATGAAGCTCATACCATCAAGTCCTCTAAAACTCTAGGTGCCCAGGCTGCCTTCAAATTGTCATCCTATTGCATGTGGTGTCTTACTGGTACCCCTCTTCAGGTATGGCAGCAGCAAAGAATTCTGGCATTAGTTGAACAAGTGCCCGAGTAATGTTTTTCCTGATTGTTATTAAACCACTGGCTATTGTCTAGCATGTATCAATTAAGGTCATTATCAATTGCTGCAGAACAAGTTGGAAGACCTTTATAACCTACTTTGCTTCTTGCATGTTGAACCATGGTGTAACTAGGCTTGGTGAGCTTATTATTATTATTTTTTTTGACAATTTTATGGCTGATGCTCGAGATGATTTAAAAACAAGCAGTTACTATTCAGTTTTTGCGTCACATTTCCTAGAAAAATTGTTCAAAGAGTTAAAGATGGCCAAATCTTTTTTTTTTGTTTATTGTTATTTTTTTAATCAACATTATAATGCAAATGAGCTTGTTCCCTCGCTCTTCCCATTTGCTGAAATTTGTTTACTGCTTGTTATAGGTGGCAAAAACTGATTCAGAAGCCATATGAGAGTGGTGATTATAGAGGGATAAAGCTGATCAAGGCTATTTGTAGGGCTGTCAACGGATCGGGTTCGGGCCGGAATTCATTATTCCGGATCCGGACCCGAATTACTATACCGGGCCCGGATCCGACCCGTTTATCCGACGGGTCTTTTATTCTATGTTCCGGATCCGGATCCGGCGGGTCCCGGATCCGGGTCGGGTCTACCCAAACAAATTTAGCAAAATTTCTAATTTCTAATAAAAATGAGAAAAAAATATATTTGTAAACTAATTTCTAACTAATGCAAAGAAAAAACCAAATAAAAAAAGAAATCAAATTGACTTTATTCAAATACATCACCTTAATCAAATTATATTGATAAATATATATTTTTTAAATTATTAATTCATTTATATCCGGATCCGGGTCTAATACGGGTCAGAATACTATATTTCGTATCCGATCCGTTTTTTTGTTTGACAAAACGGATCCGGATCCGGGAAACGGAATTAAATCCCTACCCATACCCGCAATAATTTCACGGATCTGGTCCGGATCCGGGTCTAGACCCGACCCGTTGACCAGCCTAGCTATTTGGAGGCCACTAAAGCTCTACTATTTACAGACAGGAGTGATTATCATTTCTTTTAATGTAATAACTGTTTCCTTCTATTTCTTCGACAGCTTATAGTACTTTCTTTTTTTATCTCCACCAAAATGTAGATTTAACTCAACATCTCCTGACTACTCTACAGGGAAATATAGTTATATGTTACATCAAGCCTTCTCCTTCTAGATTTAGACTGACCAGATATGTAGCTCATGAAATAATCACTGCCTATGGATGAAGCTCTCAATATTGACAACCTCAACATCAACAATCTCAAGATTAATGACTGACAATCTACTTCTTGTGTTATTTTTAATTGTACCTTTGCTACACCGACGATTTACAATCTACTTATTATCTGTTTTTAGTCATAACTTTACTACATCTATAGTCTATTATGTCCTTTATTATACTTTTCGATTTCGTTTTTTTCTATTTTCTAGATTCTTATTAGCTTATTGAGCAAAACTAGGCATACGCGCGGTGTACACCTCCTAGTGCTATAAGTAAAATACGTTGGAAGTTAAATGAACAAATTGACTACATATGATCATTTGAGGATCTAGCTTTCAAAAATCACATTGACCATAGGTTAGGACATGCCCAAGGCTGATCTAGTGCACACTGCACAGTGCCTTGTAAATATATATTAACATGCCCTAAGGGTTTAGCACTAATTGGACAAGCTTACCAAGTCGGATATTAAACAAATTAACTAGATTTTTAATTAGCAAAGCTCTACCATCTTTAATTATGTCCTTGGGATGAATATTTAAGGGTTGGAAGTTGGTTTAATCCAAAATGCACATAAGTTAGCTCAAAACACCACCTGCCCCAACAAAAATTAATGAGCAAGAAATTCAAAAAAAAAAAAAAGAGAGAGACCCTTAAACATGAGAGATTGATGGCTAAATCCATCCTCATCCATAGATTGTGACAAAAAAATTAATAAATCTCTTGATTGACTCCATTCCTTGACTAGTTTCTGAATTGTCTAAGCAAACTGTGTCTATTACTTATATTAATTGTATTGTTTGGATTAAATGCCTATGAATACAGTCTTCTATCAGTATATGATGAAATATAAACAAAATGTTGTTCTTTTCATTTTTTTTTCTTGTGGTATCGAAGCAAATGAAGAGATTCTAGCGCATTGTTTAACGTTTAATACTAAGTTTATGCTCTTTTTTTTTTGTTTACTTCAACATTTTGTTCGTCAGCGCTTACTTCAGGTTTGGTCATCACCGATTCAGGGAAGAAAGTGAAGGGTTTCATGTAGACGATCGTGTTCTTGTATCAAATTTTGCCATGATTTATCCATTTTTTGGTTGGCAATTTAAATGTAGTATGATGTGGTCGTTATCATGCCAAATTCGTACACTTCTGCTAGGCCCACAATCATTCAAGTGCTTGCTGCTGCTGTTGTTTGGCTCTCAGGATGAGCAATTTCTTCTAGGTGATTTGAGAAGCAGTTGTAATTTTACTGTGTTTTGTATGATTATAATATTTTGAGTGCTTGCTGTTTTTCAGTTTTGCTTGGCATCTGCTGATGTAATATGAAAATTAGACCTCCTTTTATTTGCGATGGATTGTATGTCTATAAAGGTTATAATAGTTTGCCTAAAAAATTTTATTATTTTGTTTTGCCTGACAAGAGACTTCCATAAACTAAACAAAATTATGCAGAATAATTAGAACATATGCTTGACTCCATGTTTTGCTGTTGGCTTTGCAATTCCTTAGAAATGCTAAATTCTTGATGGTTTGGTTAATAACGGAAAATAGTAAGGTAAGCAAAATGATTTCTAGGGGGAGGGAGTGTAAGTGAGAGGTCTCGGGTTCGAGTCCTCCCGCTTACAAAAAAATAAAAAACAAAAAATAAAAAAAGCAAAATGATTTCCAGAAAAATAGTTCTTATATTTTGGATTATCGATTTGTCAGGAAAATATGTAGCAATACAGAAATCAATCTTGAATTCACTTTATTTGTTTTCATTTCTCAAATTTCACAATTTAGTAGAGCATAATTTGACTCCCAATCTTTAACCAAAATTGTCTTCACAATTTCACTGCCATCTTCAACCCACTTGTTTTTGATGCTCATAAACACATTTAAAAGAAAAAAGGGGTTGCCCAATATCTTGTATAAATTGCAGAGTTTAAGACCCTATTTACCTCAAAATTTACTATTAACAATTCTCAACTTCAACATCGCCATTGTCTGTGACCTTGAGTAAGAGTAGCTTTGATCAAGGGTAGAGGAAAGAATTGGACAGAACTTGAGGTCCATATCTCCCAGAAGCAGCTTCTATCACCATTGATATCCAGGAAAACCAAAGATACTAGACTGGCAACTCTGATAGATGAATTTTTTGCCATAACTAGCTCAAGAGCTGCTCTTTGAAGTGACTTTCTCACATTTTTCTGCAAATCAATGACACTGAATAGGTGCAAAGATCCATAGAATTTTACACGAAAGTATTATTCTATGAAATTAACCCCTTTGAGGTATAACATAATTGCAAAAGTTAGCAATAGGCATCAAGAATCACACTTAGCTCTCATATTTTAATGCTTACATAAACAAACCAAAACAAGATTAGCAAAATATTGCTTTGACTTTCCTAAAATACGCTTTTCAATCTACAAAAGTAGAGAAGAAAAAAACCGACCGTCAACTTCTTTAAAACTTCCCATCATAACAAATTAAACTGTTGCGCCATTGTAACATTGTTTGATCAAACTAGAGATTTTCTTACTTTATTTTATTTTTATTGTATTTTTTTATTTTAATGTAAGTAGAAAGTCTTGAACCCAGGATCTCTTATTTGTACTCCCTTCCCTCTTACCATCCAATCCATCCCTCTCCCTTCTTCTAGTACTCTAAAATTATGTTACTAATTATGCGCAATTTAATATAAGAGGTTTTGCAAGTATTTTCAAGAGTTTTTTGCCAAATAGTTGTGATTTGTGTTAAAAAATTTCTATCATCATTTGTTATTCCAATTTTTCTCCTTGCATAATGAAGTATTATATTGCCATCTCATACTCCATGCCATCCATGCTGACATAACTGCTACTTCTAAGTTCCGTACTTATCCACTACTACTATATATATCCAAGTCTTCCCGCTAACTTCAATTAAAAAAATCCCAATACTCTATAATCAATTCTTTTGCTCTAACTAGTTTGTTGTTTTATATCTTTTTCATTATTTACTTTTTCCTAAAATATATGCACACATAGAGTGTGTGTCTCACCCAGTGATTCCAATAATTACACAAACTAGCATGAACTAGATGCATTTTCTACTTGTGAGGCCCGTTTCCAACATTTTCATGGGTTACCATTTTATCTATTTATCTACAGAAATTTTTTTTAAAAAAAGAAGGACAAAATGATTACCTGAGGAGTTTTGACACAGAGCTTAGGGCCCGTGAAGTTGAGTGTTGCACAGTAGGATTACGTAGAGCCTTGTTCAGGTTGGGCCAATGACGGATTTCGGCAGCCGAAAATTCATAGGCCTGGAAGTCCAGAATATTTTCCGCATCATTTGTTGGTGGTTCATCTGCAAATCATGTGAAGTCCATTGCTGCCATTCCCTAATGAGCAATGACTTCCAACCCAATATTTTTTTTTTTTTTTTTTTTGTATTCATGTTCAATTGGGAGGTAAAAAGTAATTTTAATAACGTTCACCTATAAAAAGCGCGTTTAAATCACAACATTTTTAAGTGATTAATACAAATATGAGAGTTTGTAAAATCAAAGACATTATGTAATTCTTTAATTTGGAGCACAACCTGATCCTCTTTTTTTTTTTTACGCAACACAATGTGAACTTAATTATTCTCTCACATTAAATACTCATTCTCCATTTCCTCAAAATTGCCACAAAATTTGTACATTATAGATTCAAAAAATTTTATAGAAATAAAATAAACTAACTTAAAAGCGACAAAAATATGTGGTAAATACCTTGTATTTCTATTTGTCACAAGGATAAAGTGAATAAAAAAGGGAAAAATTTTTGAAACCGCTTCTAAGATTCACCTAGTGCCCTCTAAATTCAACAATTATGCTGACCACTCTTGTATTTATTGTTTTGGTAATACAATCTTTGAAAAGACACAAATTTCACATAAAAAATTTTAAATTACCATTTTTTTTTAAAAAAAGTTGTCTTATATTATTCTCTCTGCCACCAAAATTCACGAACGCTACCATTTTTCTACCTCCACAACCACCACCAAGGTTGCCTCTATTGCCACTATCACAGGGCAACAACCAGAGCCCAGAGGGAAAATAAAAGTCATAGAAAATTCTCTAGTACTCTTTTCTTTCCACCACTGTTGAAAGACAAAGATAAAAAACATATAGAGATGCTCAAAAAAATCACATCTCTTTCCATACTATGGTTTTTACATGCACTTCTATATTGATTACCTTCGATAAA